TAAAAAACATAAAAAATCTTACTGTTCAAAAACTTTTGACTGGTAGTGTATGTACATACTGTACTGGTATATAAATGCACACATACACACACATTACAGGACTGGATGGGATGGAACAGTGCTTGTACCTGCATAAAATCCACTGTCATCCACTTCTTCCACTTTCTCTCCCTGCTTCAGTTTCTCATGAAGTTTCTCTTTCTCTGCTCTGAGAAGAAGAAAAGTTTGAATCTGCCAGGAAATTTGTTTCACCAAATCCTTTCATCCTATCATTTTTTTCTATTTTCCTGTCTCACCTCCAGGTTTCTTGCAGAGATTCGGGCACAATGTCCTCGGGTGTCCACAGATCCTGATGGGGACAGAGAGTGAGACTGAGGCCTTTTTTGGCTAGTTTCAGAAAGGAGAACAAAAGATCAGTGGTGCAAGACAAAAAAACTAAAACAAACTCTGTTTGTAGAGGTATTTTATAGAGGTAGAGGTATTTACCGGGTCACTGAATTTAAAGTCCAAGTTTGCCATCCCAAAGTACAGTAGTCTCTTCTCTTGCAAAGCTCTGCTGACATACTTGTCAATTTCCTTTGAGAAAAAAGATCAAGTGGTCATTTAAATTCTGTATTGATCTGGACCATTGACTCATCTATTCATCCATCCAACAGACTGACCCATCTATAAATGCAAACATTATTATTTCTACCCCATCTCCCATGCGTCACAGTTACTCCACCAGTCCATGCATCACACCTGCATGGGGCCTGTTTCCTGAGCCTCTGTGTCGACCTCTAGAGTCTGAGTGTAGAGCTCCAGATTACTAAGGGAGTTACCTTGGCAACTAACTGAAGTAAAAATAAAAAATTTGAAGTACTAAAATGACTAAAAAATTAAAATGTAAATAAAAACTAATAATAATAAAACTAATAAAAACAAACACACATAACAAAAACTAAAACTCAGAATAAATTTAAAATGAAAATATAAAAATAAAAACTAATTCAAAATATGATTAAATACTATAATAGTATAGAAATAATACAAACATAACAATGCTATTCACATCAGCTTCATTAGATAAAGAATGTAGAGTCATTAGAACGTTATAGTCTTTGACACTGGCATTGAAATTGTATACAGATCAGATATTAGAAATAAAACATAAGAAGATAAAAATAACTATAAATAATGAAATAAATTGCAAATTTAAGTTCATCAGGAACCATGGTGTTTACATAAACTTTATTCAACCAAGTGGAATTATGTTTTTGAAAAGGAAACAAAATAAATATTTCCAAAAATAAACACTGAAGAACAAAGATATAATAAATAAAATAAATAAATAAATAATTTGTAAATAATCCAAATAATTTGTGAGTAAACGTCAGTGTAGGAACATCAGTGCTCGTGTTTCAATGACATCTGACCTTTGAACTGTGCAATATGTAAGTGCTCGAGCTGTAAGGGCAGGAAGTCCTCCAGAGCAGAAACCTTCCAGGTCGCGTTGACACGAAGGTCACACACATCTGTTTGCATGACAGCAAGGAGAGAGAGAGGTCTGAAGCAACAGAGAAAGACTGATTTCACTGAACTGTTATACAGGTGCATCTCAATAAATTAGAATGTCGTGGAAA